GAATTCTAATAATATAATATAATATATTCAATAATATAATATATTAGGTATACCTAGCAATTTGTTGATGTAGATAAAAGTAATAAATAAGAATGTTCGTCTCATAAAAGCCAAATTCCAACTGAACGCTTGATTACGTTGTAGGGATTATAATTATTAACAAAAACAACCAAAAAAGAGGGTGAGTCAGACCTGCGCGATAAACATATTACGTTAAGCGTGACGAATTTCTTAATTATATATTTGTTATTTATTATTTTATTAATAATCAAATAATGTAATTTCGATTATAGTTTCCAAAAATTACGCACCATTTTGAGTAATTAGGGTTTAAAAATTGTGTTATTTTCGACGTTTTGAAAATAAAATCTTAAATAAGAAACTGTTTTATCGGTTGATATTTTTGTTGAAAATATTTAACACAAAAATTATAGATATTAAACTAAAAATTACAAAAATCTAAACAAAATTTTGACCTCCGACCCCTTACAAAAACGAACTGATCTTTAAAAAAGAACACCCAAGCAGCATTTTAAGTAAAATCGTAGAGCTTTGAGGCAATATTACTTAATTTAAGTAAATATTTTGTTAAATAAACTTTAAAAAATTACTTTGAGGTAAAACTTTTTTTAAACTATATTATTTGACTTGTATACCATGTGTGTTAATAAAAAGGGGGTGTGTTTTGTATATAGGTATATTTATTAATAAAATGAGTAGCCAAGCGCTTTCGTCACTTGTCTAGTGACAACATCAGGGCTAGCCCTGAAAAGTGAGTAAATTTTGGTTTTAAATTGCAAGATTAAATTCTTGTTTTACTTACTTGTCAAGGCGAGCTTACATTTCTTAACAGCAGCGAAAGTGGGGAACAAAAATACATTTAGCCCTGAGGGGGTAGCGCTTGGCTACTCATTTTATTAATAAATATACCTATTATAGGTATATTTATTAATAAAATGAGTAGCCAAGCGCTACCCCCTCAGGGCTAAATGTATTTTTGTTCCCCACTTTCGCTGCTGTTAAGAAATGTAAGCTCGCCTTGACAAGTAAGTAAAACAAGAATTTAATCTTGCAATTTAAAACCAAAATTTACTCACTTTTCAGGGCTAGCCCTGATGTTGTCACTAGACAAGTGACGAAAGCGCTTGGCTACTCATTTTATTAATAAATATACCTATATACAAAACACACCCCCTTTTTATTAACACACATGGTATACAAGTCAAATAATATAGTTTAAAAAAAGTTTTACCTCAAAGTAATTTTTTAAAGTTTATTTAACAAAATATTTACTTAAATTAAGTAATATTGCCTCAAAGCTCTACGATTTTACTTAAAATGCTGCTTGGGTGTTCTTTTTTAAAGATCAGTTCGTTTTTGTAAGGGGTCGGAGGTCAAAATTTTGTTTAGATTTTTGTAATTTTTAGTTTAATATCTATAATTTTTGTGTTAAATATTTTCAACAAAAATATCAACCGATAAAACAGTTTCTTATTTAAGATTTTATTTTCAAAACGTCGAAAATAACACAATTTTTAAACCCTAATTACTCAAAATATATAATATATAATATACAAAACACACCCCCTTTTTATTACTTTTTTTAAAGTTATTTAATAAGTTTTATTTATGTTATTTTTACCTATTTTAACAACCCTTAAGTTTCAACACTTTAAAGTATTATGAGGGACGTAATTTTTACGAAAGAAAATTACTTATAAGTGTATTTCATCTAAAGGAAAATTTAACGGTAATTTTAACCTCAGAATTTTTACTTAATGGTAAATGTTACTCATAAGTCATAATTTTACGATATTAAGACTACTTTATAACCGTAAATAATACCTATTTGCCTGGTATTTTTTAGAGTTATTAGTGGTAATAAATACTATTAGTATTGACTGAACAAGGAAAAATAAGCTTAAAGTGAAAAATAAAACTTTAAGGGAAAATTTTTTTCATTTCGCCATAATGATTTTTTTAAGATGGCATCCATTACTTATCTAAACATTTATATAATATTTTTTCATAAATATTTTTCTAAAATATAATAAGGAAAGTTTTAGTTATTAAAAAATGATTAAAACTAAATGATTTTTGAAATATTTTATAAAATTTTGTTTTTTGAATTCTTACCCAAGCAATAATTTTTCTTAAAACCGTAAAATATTTAGAGGGCATATAATTTTTAAGATGTATCGTACCTATTTTTATCAATAAAATAATGTGCATTTGAGTTTTAATGCAAATATTATTAGTTTTGACAATTTAAGTTATAATTTTTAATTTTACTAATTATTACTTTGTAAGTACCATTTTGTAAAATATAAATTAAAAGAACAAAGAAATTATGAATGTCAATGTTTTAGAAAGAGAGAGCAAACAGTTAGTAATTATATCGTTATTTTTACGTAAATTTGTGGTATTTATACTGTTTTTATTACGTTATTCTCTTAGTAGATCAAAAAGGTTATTATGTACATAGGTAAAATAACGAAATAAACCATTTCCCAAATTTGGTAATTTTTCGTATCTATACCGTTATAAAACCGTTTTGGTTAACCGTAAATAATACTTTAAAGTTGACTTAGTAGTAAATTTGTAGTTATTTTAACTAAAAATGCTGCTTGGGCAAGTTTCATCTCAATTTAAAATCAATGAACTATATACATACCTATATTATATTGATATATTGATTTTAAACAACAAAAAACTATTTAAATTTTCTAAAAGTTAAAATCAAAGGCGATTTTATAAATAAAAGTGGACTAAACAAGTTTGAAGAAATTTAGTTAAAAAAACTTAAAAATTAGCGAATATTTATTTAAAAAATCCCTAATTTCGATGCCTTTATAAACAAAAAGTTAGCAGCACTGCAGTGCACTGGAGAGAAATGTCAATCATAAAAAATATGAGTTGGAGTAGCGAGCGGTACCCAATTTTTACAATTTATAGTTCGGGGAGTAGCACTGAAAACGATGCGTTTACAGCCTGATTTATAGATTCCCTTCCTTCCTTTCTCCTGTAAAAGATGAACAATACGAAATCCGTACGGAAATCTATAAACAAAACGGTTTTCGTATTGTTCATCTTTTACGGGATGGCAACATCGCCAATAAGAGAATATTTATATTCTACGCTATTTTGAGTAGTTTAACAACTTTTATATATAATATATAATAAAGGTACGTATCTTTGGAGTTATTGTCACAACAAACGTTTTTTGAAAATAGATAATATATATTATATAATATAATAAAAAAGCTGTCTTTATTAAAATTCTAACTTCTAGTAGCCTATTGGTAAAAAAAGGGGAAAAAATGTGGGCTCCTGCTTCTCAAAAACCTATACGTCATCTGTACTATAATTTTTCTAAAAAATACTATAATTAAATTGAGAAAATACTATAATGTGCATCTCAAGAGTTGGCAACCCTGGCGGCACGTCAGTGTATGACGAATTTCATCCATTATGTCACTAGCGTGCCCGTAAAAACTAAATTGCAGGCACTCTAACGTGCACGTAGTCACTGCGAAACTATTATATGGGTGAATATCCCCCAAGTGAAAATGAATATTTTTATTTTTGGTTGTTTCACTGTTAGTCTAGAATGGGGTTTTTGGGAAGCCACCAGGTGTAGTAATAACATAACATAAGTGGTTCTGCACTAATGCAAAAATTTTAAGAAATCATACATTTTGAATATTAGAGCTTCACGGAGTTTAGGATTTCGTATGTTTTTTTTAAACATCCCTTTGTATATTTGAAATAAGTTATTGTATCTTTTAACCCCTTAATATTTTTTAAAAATACAATTGTACATACATAAAATATTTATAAAAAAAATCTACTTACTGAGATATTACACTTCACGGTGGATAGGTTTTTACATAGCTAAACTTTTGAATTATAAAACAGCAACACTCTCATCTGCATATAAATTCTAACTGACCTTCAGGAATCACATGCATCCATAATTTCGTAAACAGAGGTTTTTGCTTATTTAAAATAATTAAAGCGCCATCCGTTGCATAAAATTTAAAGCAAAAACAGATTCACGGAGGATAGAATCAATTCTTTTAACACCTACATAAATGGTTATAAAAATTATTTCTTAAATTTTTAATAATATTTTATATTTGATTCGATTGCTTTGGATTTATTTCATTTACTTAGTGAACTGATATTTTTAGTATGCTTTCACTTCCTCAGATATTTGAAAACATTTTAGTCTTTTAAAACATTTTAAAAAATAATTAATTGCGGTTAAAAATCTGGAACCTGAGCTGTAATATCTACTTAATTATGAAAGATCAAAACACAATAAAAGTGTAGGTCCAACTTATTTAGTTTTATTAAATATCACGGGGGTAACATCATCGGGGGACATTTCGGGAGATTTACCCATGTATGTTTTTTATGTGTTAAAAATCAAAACTTTAAATTATCTTTATTATTAACAAATTTTAACTTAAAACATTAGAAAATTGTTTTCAATCCTTTTATCCTCTATATGCGCCATTTTTTGGGGCACCCTGTATATTTATAGACAAAAAATATTAACCTTTATAAAAAAATGCGTAAATTATTGCAGACATTTTTTACTATGCAAATCAGATTAAATTTTTCTTAGATCTGATATAACGAAATAAATTTGTTTGTATTCAAAGTTTTGCCTAGACAACATTTAAATAGGGTTGTATTTTCTATAAAGTACCCTTTACAATAAAAATCTTTGATAAATTAACTTTATTTTCGTTACTATTGGTAGCATTCTGACAACAAATATTATAGTTAACACTTGTTGTAATAACTTGATGATTTCATGTAAATGGTGCGGCTCTTTTAACAAATTTAAAACCTTTTGGTACGGTTCTGTTTAAGCTTGAACGGTGTTGATTAAAATCGTAAAAGTCGCGAGAAGTGTGTGCCGATATAATGAATAACCTTAAATAAGGTAAGTAAAAAATATTCATTTTCTTGAACACAAAATTTTGGTTTAATAATAAGATTTATTTCAAAAAGCTTCATTGACATATTTTTTCGTAACAACTCGGTAAAATTTCTTTTATTTTTCCACGGAAAGTTCGTTCTGGTAATTCATGATGTTGTACAGTTCCATCCCCATGATATTTTCCGGCATTTTTTTGTCTTCAAAGTTGCAGTTTCTGTCGGAAAAACAAGAATCTGAAAAAGAATGTTTAAATATGGTGATTAGAGCTTGAGCTTATTAACTATTCATTGAATAAATATAAATAATCGATTTAAATACTTCATGTTAATTAATAATTAATTTTGTTTTATTGATGAGTTCGAAACAATTGGAAACAAAAAAGCTATCCTTTACATTTTAGACGCTACTGCAATAAAATTTTCAGGGTATACTACGCAAAACACGCATATTAACGCACTCTGATATGTGTCCACATGACAAGCATATATCCAATAGTATGCCTTGAAACGTCAAAAATACGTAACTTCATCAATTTCTATGCTATCCAAACTAAATTTCCAGGGTATACCAACAAAAATACGCCCACCTTGATTGCAGCACACTCCTTCACTAGCACATCTTCCAGTATTTTTTCGGCAAAACGATATCCCAGCTATGCAAGGTTCCCTGTCCTGGAAAAACCCTTCCCGCCTACATCTTAGCGTTTCGGGGGTTCCCATTAGACAGCCAAAAGGTCCACAGCATATGTTGGGGCCGAAGCATTGCCCCATCTGACCTGGTCCGCAAGATATGCACTAAAAAAATTATAATTATGTTAAAAAAAATTTTAATACTAAAACCGATAGTAGGGGTAAAGTAGACACTATAGTTATTGGACAATTAACATTAATACTGTTTAAACAAGAGTTCTTAAAGTCAAATCATTAGATGACGCTGTATACAATTATAAATATCTCAGTCGGTAATAATATAATATAAACGTAAATAAAGTTTAAACAAACAAACTATCTTTTTTATATATTTATAAGAAAAAACTAAAATCTTTAAAACAACGGCATAGATAAATTTTAAATAAATAACATTCCAATAACTAGGGGGTTTACCCTATTAGATTTTCTAAGAAATTATTTTTTTATAAACCCTTTCAAAAATACTAGCTCATGTTTATATAGATCAAGGAAAGTGGGCCTTTTCTATAAAAAAAATAATTCACTGAGCACCTACTTGTTTAACATTTGGTTCCAGCATTTTAAAATTTCCATTGCGTTTTCCCCCCCTCTAGGGCAGTTTGTGATAAGACACCCAAAAACAAGGATATTTCCCAACAGAAGCAAAAATAATATAAGATGTGTCTTGGCCAACATTTTCGACTGAAAACTGTGTAAAATTGGTTTTGAAAACGACTTATATACTTTTCTATGAATAGTATTGCAATACCTACATTAAAATCTCGCTGGGAATAATAAACAGCACTCAGTATATAGCAGGATTATGTAAATGAAAATAATATAAAGGATATTGATGTAAAATGTCTGATTCGGAAGAAGAAACGCACGAGAAACAATTAAAATTGGTTTTTCTGGGTGATCAAGGCGTGGGAAAGGTAAAATTTATCTTATTTATTTAGCTTATTTTTACAATTATTACAATTAAATTTAAATATTTTGAAATATAATGTAATACATTTTTGTACATATTTATACATCCAATCAAGAAGACCAAATGCAGAAGGAGTAACTTGCAAGGTGGGGCACCAATAAGGACCGCGCTGTCCACCTGCAAATGTCTCGATTTCAATTGTGTTTGTCTTCGTCGTATTTTGAATAAAAAAAACTGTACCTAAACAATACAATAAATTATAACATTTAACAGTAAAAAGAACGTTTTGTAAAAATAGTTTAAAGAAAAGGTGTTCAAATCGGGCTAAACGTGGTAGTGAAATAGTATATTTAATATACATACAGTGTGACCCATTTGTTTGTGACTCACCCCTGTAAAATCTTTATTTATTGTGCGATTTTAACCGGATTTGTTTTTAAGTGTAGATCTTGATAAACTGTATTTTTGGAGCAAAATACGCTATATTAGTACAAAATACAAGGCCTACTATGTCAGTTTTTAAGAGTAAATTTTTAAGAATTCATATTAGCGATTTTAATAAAACAAAATCCAAGCACGGCACTGGATTCACCACCACTCAAAACTACCCTATACTAAATTTTATTGAAAAATTATACGAAAAAAAATGAACAAAAATAACTACAAAAATTTATTTTGTCAAGTTATCCATGAAAAAACATTGAAATAAAATTAAACTAATATTAATATGGTACTATTACTATTAGTTTAATTTTATTTCAATGTTTTTTCATGGATAACTTGACAAAATAAATTTTTGTAGTTATTATTTTTTTTCTTAAAATTTTTTAATAAAATTTAGTATAGGGTCGTTTTGAGGGGTGGTGATACTAGTGCCATGCTTAGATTTTGTTTAAAAAAATAGCTAATATAAATTCTTAAAAATATACTCTTAAAAACCGACATGGTAGGCCTTGTATTTTGTAAAAATATGGCGTTTTTTGCTTCAAAAATCCAGTTTATCAAGATCTACAGTTTAAAACAAATCCGGTTAAAATCGCACAATAAATAAAGATTTTACAGGGGTGAGTCGCAAACAAATGGGTCACACTGTATATATAGTATGTAATAATATACTATATTATGTATCAAATTTTATAAACGCCATTTTAGTTACTAGTCGTATAAAACGAGTTGCATACTATACTTTATCTACGACGAACAGAATTTAAAGGCAATTTTATTTGTTAATCATTTGACATATGTCAACTTTCAACGGATTTAACCTCACTTTTTCCCAATTTATAATAAAGCCAACTTCAGCCTGTGACTTAAATGCCTAAAAGCCACTGCTGCTAACTTTGGCCCGTGACTAAACGATATAAAGTCACAGTTTGTCAATGTAGGAGGCAATAGTATATTAGTCATATTAGTGCTCCTCCTTGATTTGGTCTTCTTGCAAACTAATAAATAGTCTTAAATGTTAAATTTCAAAAAAAATATTTTAAAGTACTTAATTTAAAATAAAATCAATATTTTAGACCAGCATCATAAAGCGTTTTTGCTACGAAGATTATACCAGACAATATACTCAAACCATAGGTGCCGATTTTTACATTAAACGCTTAAATTTACCTGGAAAAAATGACGTAACCCTCAAAATTTCTGACGTATCTGGAGGAGTAGTATTGAACGGACCCATGTTGAAAAACTATTTATACAAAGCCAATGTAAGTTTTTCTTTAAAAAAGGTAAGTTTTTTCTTTGATTTTTTGCATTTTAGATGGTGATTTTGGTGTACGATATAACCAGCAATAATAGCTTCGAAAACATTAAAATTTGGATACGATCTGTAGCTGAAGCTGTCGAAAATACCGTTACGTGCGCCGTATTTGGAAATAAAAGTACGTGGCGCTTTTTAAAATGTCGGTTCAACGACTAAGATTTTAAATGAAAATATTTTTTCAGGTGACTTAGAACATAGAAGAGCTATTTCTCTTCTAACCTCGAAGAAATTTATCCTGGACAATCAACTGTATGGGTTTTTGGTGTCGGCCAAAACTGGGGAATCCGTGAATTCGTCTGTAACGGAACTGATAGCGAAACATTTTGGCATAAGTTTGTCCAGGGTAGATAAGGAAAAGCAAAATCACATTTTGAAAGCTGAATTAATTGTTCCTAGTAATGAAAACGTCAAAACGGCCGTCGTTCCAAGCCATACTTCAGTTTGTGTTTTGCAATAAGACTTCCATTTTGTAAATATTTAAGTAATAAAATCATATGGAAAATAAATGTTTATTAAAAAAAGTTACCTACCTTTGTTTTTTCCACCAAAATTTCTAGATGAATGTATTTTTTTTAGTTATTGAAAAGTACACCGAAAATACAAGGTTTTGCATAATCTGTAACTACTTGGGACAAATAATTCCGGCCCTGCATTCTCGTTGCACCAGGTTTAGATTTGGGCCCCTTAGTCCGGCCCTGATAAGGCCCAGGTTGCAGCACGTCATAGATCAAGAGGGGTAAATATACCAAAAAAACTGTACGCGCGTTAAAAGTTATACTTCTTTGGCGTAAATAAAAAAAAATGTTCCAAGGAAGATATTAAATACAATTTATAAATGTTTGATTACAACTTTTGAATATTTTAATTTTTTTTTTAATCTGGATGATTTTGTAAATTTTCACATTTTCCAATTTTAGTTTTTAAAATTTTATAAATTAAAAAAAAAATAAATAAAACAAAAATATATTTTGTAAATTTTCCCACCATTTTTTAAATTTATTGCATTGTGCGAATTTGTCCTACCATTTTTTTAAATTTATCCCACTGTGCGAAATTTTCCTCTCTTTTTTTTAAATGGATGCCACTGTGCGAATTTATCCCACCATTTTTTAAATATATGCAAGTGAGCCTCGCATTATGAGGACAGTTTTCGATTATCCAATTTTGTTCAAATTTGGGCAGTTTTCAATTACCCGAAATATTAATTTTATTGTGCAATTTTCAATTACCCGGTTTTAAGAAGTATATCTTCAACAAACTTGCCGACAGGATATTAAATGCAATTAATAAATTTTTTATTACAACTTTTAAATATTTTGATTTTTTTTTAAATCTGGTCGATTTTGTGAATTTTCAAAAATTTTCAATTTTAGAAGTTTTTAAAATTTTATAAATATAAAAAAATTAAAACTCAAAAATTTTGGAAATTTTCCCACCATTTTTTAAATTTATCCCACTGTGCGAAATTTTCCTCCTTTTTTTTAAAATGGATGCCACTGTGCGAATTTATCCCACCATTTTTTAAATGCATGATTGTAAGCCTCGCTTTGTGAGGGCAGTTTTCGATTATCCAATTTTGTTCAAATTTGGGCAGTTTTCAATTACCCGAAATATTAATTTTAATGTGCAATTTTCAATTACCCAGTTTTAAGAAGTATACGAGTATAGCTTAAACAAAATTTCCGACACGATATTAAATGCAATTAAACCATTGAGTAATGATTAAACTTTGGAAAATTTTAAAAAAATTTTAAATCTTCCATTATTAGAAGTTTTTAAAAAATTTAATTAAAATAATTAAAATTCATAAATTTTGGATATTTTCCCACCATTTTTTAAATTTACGGCATTGTGCGAATTTGTCCTACCATTTTTTAAATTTATCCCACTGTGCAAAATTTTCCTTCCGTTTTGATATGTATACCACTGTGCGAATTTATCCTACAATTTTCTAAGAATTTTCTAAATGCATGCATCTGACCTCGCATTGTCAATTTTTAATTACTCAAATTTAAATTAAAATTTTAGCGTTAAAATAAGCGAAGATGGCAAAGAAGCATTGGAAACTTTGGCCAATGGGGACATGAGAAAAGTTTTGAACGTTTTGCAAAGCACTTGGTTGGCTTATAAAGATGTCACAGAAGATACGGTCTACACTTGTGTGGGACATCCTTTGAAAAGCGACATCGAAAATATCGTTAAATGGTTACTGAATGATAGCTTCAAAAAATCATATAAAAGTAAGTACACAACATATGATGGTTAACAAAGTTAATAAAATTGTCATTTTTAGATATTAAAGAGCTCAAGACCATCAAAGGTCTTGCCTTGAGCGATATTTTGACGGAAGTGCACAAGTATGTCCATAGAAGTAGGTTTTGATGGTAAAATTACGATGTTTACTTTATTTTGGCGTTTTTTTGTAGTTGAATTTCCATTTCAAGTTCTCACAAAACTACTCGTCGATTTGGCAGCTATAGAAAGCAACCTAGCTGCTGGTAGCAACGAAAACATTCAACTGACAGCTTTTATTGCGGCTTTTCAACCGGCCAGAGAAATTTCACCGCCTGAATAAACAGGTATTTTATTTTAAATAAAAATCGTTTGAATTATATTTTGTTTATTTTAAGAATAAATAACAGTCTATAATAACAAGTAACTAGCTGTACTAAACTAATTTTTGTCTTTTTATACATTTTCACATAATTGGAAAAATCAGTGCTAGTCTAACAATAAATAGTGCTCCATAAATAAAATAAAACATGTAAGGCAAGTAGGTACAATCGTTAAATACGCAGGTGGGCCCAGAGAGGAACCTTGGGGTACACCGAATGTTAGTTTCAGAAAACGTGTTTACATAAGATTAAAAGTTAAGTTTTAAATTCTTTGGCAATTTTACATTTAACATTTTTTAAGGGCCAAAATTATGAATATAGATATACAAACTTTTTCTCCTATTTTAAGTTCTCTGAAACACTCTTTGACTTTTTCGGACGAATTATAAATTATTAACCAAAGTAATTTAACATGCTGTTGAAGCCCGAAGTGATCGACGAAATGATGCCGCTCCCTTGCGCTTGCTGCTGCGGTATTTGCGGTTGCCTATGTTGGTACTGAGGCTGATGGGGGCGGTAGAAATGACCGTCCTTTCTCTAAAAAACAAGGCAGGTCAAAATTTTGTCGAAATATGGGGTTTTGCGGAAGCCAGAAGAAGAAAAGTTAGGTGGGGGCGTCCAAAATCAATGCACAAAGGATAGTTGGGATTTGTTGGCTCGGCCAGCAAATATCGACTATCCTTTGTGCATACTTTAAATCTGATTTTGGGCACAATCCACACAACAAGGTCTGTTCTATCTCGTACTAAAAATAGTCCTTAAAGTGCTAAGAACAACCATTTTACTCCTCTATTGTAAAAAATAAACTTTATTCTATCAGGGCTGTCATAAAACTGTCAAATGTCAATTTTAAGGTTAAATTATAACCCACAAATTAACCTTCAAATTGTCATTTGACAGCCCTGATAGAATAAGGTATATTTATTATAAAAGAGGAGTAAAATGGTTGTCCTTAGCACTTAAAGGCCTTATTTGAGGATTACAAGTGCCTCTGTAAGAAACACAACGTTTAAAACAATGATTAAACAGCACAAACCCAAAGCACAAGAATTGTAAACAACAAAAAAGGCCGCCGTTAAACTCTGTGCAGGGTTGCAGTGATTTTTAGTATTTTTAGCATGAGATAGAACAGACCTTGTTGTGTGGATTGTGGGTGAGGGTGTCCAAAATCAAGGCACAAAGGATAGTTGGGATTTGTTGGCTCGGCCAGCAAATATCGACTATCCTTTGTGCATAGTCAAATCTGATTTTGGGCACCCTGTCGTTTTTAAAGACGTTTATGCGAAGCCCTTCGAAGCTTACTTACAAAACAGCAAGTTAATTTTAATGTTTAGGTTAATTTAGTCTTCCGGAAAGTTAAAATCCCCAGAATGCGCGCTAACAGTTTGCGCACTTAACATTGTCAAAGGTGGCGAAGTCACGGGAGGTTTAAAGTATTGACCAGGCTGAAATATGTACAGGGTTTAAAAATAAAAACCTCCACCCTATTTACGTTTTATTTTTAATGTTTCTTAAAAAAATTACCTTTGAGGCATGTAGCGTGACATTCAATAGAGTTGGGTGTTCTTCGATTACCATGAAGTCGATTTCCCTCGGAACGTATCCATCTGCATACACCTGAAATTAAAAAATCTTTAAATCTAGGATTTTTGCACGATCTTGCAACATTGCATCAAATTTTAAAAGTTATAATGTTCCCACCTCCAACTTGTACACTCCAGGCAGCAAAATCCTCCAAAACTCTCCATATTTAGTGGATTGGAAACCGACATCCCTGGCCTTGACTTTCAAGGACGCCTTTTCGACAGGGTTGCCATTTTCGTCCATGACAAAACCGTGAACGCCGCGGTGTGCTTCTGCCAAATATTTAATCAGCGACTAAAATTTGAAAAAAAAATTATGGATGATTTTTTTTATGGTATTTTTTCCAGTTTACCAATTTATTGTCCTCCCAGTATTTCGGTAATTCGTGCGCGGGCGGGTATTTGCAACAAGAAACTTCCAAGGTCACTTCCATGCAACCGTACCATACGTAGTTGTAATCTTGCATACCACCTGTCAGAGGGTACCATTCAGCTCCATTTGTGATTCCCTAAAATACATTTTTTTACTTATATTTTGTAAAAATTTTCCACGGACAAAGGAACTAGTGGCGCCACCAAACGACAAAGTTTTACAGTTTTCTTGCTATGCATATTACTATTCTTCCTTTATTTAGTCTTCTTGAATTTTGAAAAATGGACAGAAACTTTTTCCATCGTGTTTAGGAGATTTTTAGTGGCTTTTACATAATATACTTTTTGCCTTTTTCAAAGCCAAACCACATAAATGTATGTAAGCTTAACCTAAGCAAATGATTCATAAAAATTTGATATACGCTAAAGAAGTATCGGGTTTTCGCAACGCGCGCGCCATCTGGTGGACTTCGATAGCATTGCGTGAATTTAATGAAAAGAGGCTGAAGTCTTACTCGAAAAATTTTGTTCAATAGCACAGCTAAATCGCGCACGTTATTTGTGTTTTACGTTGCAAGGAAAAAATTAAAAAACTGGTTTGGTACTCGATTTCGATTGATTATTCTTTATATCATTGATTAAGAAACTCAACGCTTAAATGCTTATATAGTTACGTTAGTGTATGTATTTTATCTAATGGATCATGGTGAATTATTGTGTTTTTAATTGTAAATAAAATTCAAGAACTAAATCGTTGCATTTTCATGTTTTGCCAAAGGATCCAATTCGGTAAGTACATTTGTTGGTGCAGAATTAACTAATGATCACTTTACCTAATATAATTTATATTTAAGTTTGGACATTTTTAAGAAATTAGTTAAACATAATTTTTTATATCATTGATTAAGAAACTCAACGCTTAAATGCTTATATAGTTACGTTAGTGTGTGTATTTTATCTAAGGGATCCTGGTGAATTATTGTGTTTTTAATTGTAAATAAAATTCAAGAACTAAATCGTTGCATTTTCATGCTTTGCCAAAGGATCCAATTCGGTAAGTACATTTGTTGGTGCAAAATTAACTAATGATAACTTTACCCAATATAATTTATATTTAAGTTAGAACATTTTAAAGAAATTAGTAAAAAATAATTTTTGCACAAACATAACCTTAAAATCAACCATTTTTATATTTGAGTTCTCTAAAAAACGCCGACAACAACAAAATATACAGTAGAAACCACCAATATATGAACGTGACTCATCGGGTGCCGAACATATCTCAGACATGCTAGCAGTAATGTTTTACTTGTCTTGTATATTCGATGCAGCGGTAAATGTACTCACACGTAGGTTTTTAAGCATCCGGTCCAAAAAGCGCCATCTGTGATGTAAAACTGCCTAGGTGTTCGACAAAGATGGACATATGACGCGTGTCCTAGCTTGTTACTTTTTGTTGGAATTCAGTAGTAAGGCAACCAACTCTACCGTCGGCCATTTGTTTTTATATGTCATATGATCTTTGTTTTTGCATATCGTGTTTCTGCTGTGTGTTTACGGATTAATAATCGTTTTAAACGTTGTAGTGCTAGTGGTTTTTATTGCAATTGTTATTGCACGGTTATTGGACTTTATTGCAATTGTTATTGTACGTTTTTTGGACTTTAAATAAACGGTGTGTGTTTACGGATTAATAATCGTTTTAAACGTTGTAGTGGCAGTGGTTTTTATTGCAATTGTTATTGCACGTTTTTTGGACTTTATTGCAATTGTTATTGCACGTTTTTTGGATTAAAACGGTAAATACAAAGATTAAAGTCGTTTTTTTCGCGTAAATACTATGAAATACTACGGTTAAATAAGTCATGACGTCACAGTTAATTCATATAACCATGCTTAGGTTTCTAACATTTGACATTTGTTTACTTGTTCATAACCTATAATTTTTAAAATGTGTTTTTACCTATTTATATTTAATTTCTATGCTTTTACAGGTGTAAATAAATTTCTTTGCCTCTTCTTTTACCTTGTATATTCTTTTTCTATGAACCCTAGTTCTTATACCTACCTTTTCTATACCTCTTTTTATATATAAACAGTTCTTCACTGTTGTTTACCATAATTAAAATCCAACAGTGTTTAACGTTTATACGAAAATTATTATTGTGAAACTCAAAATTTAGAATGGAACCCCAAAGAAAAAGACGAAGGTTGGCGGTATGTTTTGGAGAAGATATGTTTAGCACACAACATTATTCCTACATAAGCATATTAAATATATATATTAAAAAGAGAAAGACTATTAACCACGTTGAATAACTAGCTCAGCGATATAGTTTTATGGTCTGGTATTTGTGACGTCATAGTTAGGATTTTTGAACGCACTCTAAACGCAAAAATGCCTTAACTATTAACCAAGGTTAAGTTTAATGACCATAGTATTTCATGGTATTTACGCGAAAAAACGACTTAAGTAATTATTAAAATTTAACTTTAAAAGCAAATATATCAGAAGTATAGCAACCAACATTACACTCAAGTGTTTGTACAAATACTTATGCCCCCGTTAGAACAGCACTGCACTGGAATACAATTTCCCGTGACCTTCGATAGATTTTTCGTACGATTGTGCCTGATGAGTCACGTTCATATATTCGTGGTTTCTACTGTACCTTCGAAATCATGGCAACATAATATTATATATAATACATAATATAATGGTATTTTACCGTTGAGTGAAGGCTTTCTTAATCAACGCTTTTAATAATGCTAAATGCTATTTAAATTTAGACGACTTATTTTATGACTATTTTTACTGAATTGAAATGTTTACACTTTTCACGTTAATCACTACTAAAATGTGTATTTATTGTTTCTAATAGGTACAATTTATATTTACAGAGACTGTATGCAATTTATTTCTTCATTCAGATTAAAACTGTTTATTGGAAAACCGGTAAAAACTCGAAATACACCCAACAACACAACAAATCGAGCCACGGTTTTTTTACCGGTATTTTACACTCATTTGTATCATAAGCGTTTGATAGCTGATTATTAAGTTTTACTTTTGTTACGACGATAGCAGCCGAGTGGTGGCGCTACTAGTGTGGAAAATGGTGAAACTAATTTACTCTAGTGATGGGTCCAACCCGCACATTCTTGTGTGCTAGCACACGTTGCACAGCACACTACAGTGTGCGGGGTGGGGGGAAATGATTCAAATTGAGATTCTCGCACGTTGCACAGCTTAGCACACTGTGCGTGTCGTATCCAACTGTCGGTTTTGGATTTTTAATTGTGACAATTTTATTTTAATATAGGTATTATAATATAGACTGTGTTGCCATCTATGGACATCACGATACATTATGAATTGGATATTTTCCAATATATACAAACTGTTAATTATATAAAATAATTTCTCTACAACTTATAACCTATTGTAGTGCCATATATGTGTTCTGTGCTGAATCATAGAGTCAAAGCCACAGACGTAAAGATTCTTTACTAAAGAGCCATAGGTTAGATAAAGAGCAGTGCTGTTTCAGCGCACCGAGTCACATATGATAAAGGTGCATTTTTTATCTCTGGGTGCTATGTGCTGGTAGCACAGTTAAAAAGAGTCGTTCCAGCTCCGCACACACAAAAGTGTCGTACATAATGTACGACTCGCACATGTGCGACCCATCACTAATTTACTCACCCTTTTAAAAGATTGTTGCGATTGTTTGCATGAAACGCCCCTGCTCATTTTGGCGTGATTCGTGGAGTAGGTCAAAGCCAAATGCTTGAAAATGTCATCGTCGGGCGTCAAAGAGGGCGCTGACGAATAGGACTGGAACACTAAAACGAAAAAAATGCAAAATATTAAAACCCGACAAAAATTTGCGATTTTTGGTTTTACTTACAAGAGCATAACGCCGAGGATCTACAAAGTCCTTAGCAGCGTAAAAAACTAAATAATCATTTATTTTTTATAAAAAAACTACAGGAATTTTGGGTTGCAAGTCGCACAAAATCACGGAGTGACAAAAAAGAGGTGCAACTTACGTGAGTTGGGCGTGTTGTCGAATGGGTAGCTAGCGACTAGAGCGCCGCCGTGGAGCGACCCGGAAAGCACGAATTGTATTTTGGAAACCCATTCTTTGACTGCCTCTGTCTCCGGTTGAACTCTCTTGTTGTTTTGCTTGAAGTAATCTGGGAAATTCCGGTTCAAATCGAAACCTCTTGCGTTATATCTAAAATGAAACTCGAGTTAATACAGACATTATGCGAAACATTAAAAAAGGTGTTACCTTCCTTGCCCACCATCGCAAGTACCTTCCTTGGACACCTCAAAACCGTCAGGGTTCATTGATGGTAGAATATGAATTCTAGTGTTGTCCAAGAGCCAGCGAATGTAAGGGTCAGTAGAATAGCTTGTAGTCAAATACTGAAATATATTTTTATTTTTTTGTCTACTTTTGTATTTTTAAAAGTTATTTATGTCATTAGGTTAAGAAGTAAGGCTTTTTGTGCTAAGCTCAAGGTTTGACGGCCGACGCGTAGCGGAGGCCTACAATTGAGCGAAGCACAAAAAGGCACTTCTTGGCCGAATGGCATACAACATTTTATCTTCAAAGCACTTTATATAGGTCAATTTAATTCAACATCAAAGCGGCCTAACCTCACTTTTTTAGAATCTCATTTATTTATTAGCTAAAGATTACATTAAATGTACAATAATTATTATTGCTTTTAGCAGTAATAGTTTGACAATACCTAGCAACATGATTTAAGTAGAAATGGGTTTTTGCTATTACATTGAATTCAATTAATTGTTTAATAAATAGGTAGGTATCTAATTTCAATTTGTTTGGATTTTTATTTAAAAAATAGGTAGTTTGGAATGTTTAAGCTGTGTTTAACATTTAATTTCACTGAAAACTTAAAGCAAATTAAAACTTAAAGATAATTTAAATCGTAGAAAAAGAATCGTGCGTTTTCTTGGTTGCCTAACCTCACTTTTTGTTTTATTAATCAAATTTAATTTTACAATAATTTAATGAAAAATATTAAACATTAACAGTAAAACAAACAAATTAGTGCTTATTATAAATAAATTAAACCAGTTTAGTACGTTAATTTCTTAGAAAAGGATTAATTTGCCAAAACAATAGCGAGAAAAAATCGAACTAATTACTTGCCTCATAAAATTTTTTATCGGCCTAGGCCATAACAAGGTATTTCTTTATCGAATGTTGACAATAATAAAGTTTAAATTATAGACCGCGTGGAGATAAAATTACTTACATGTATTAAATGTAACATCAATTCTCTGCTGACAGCTTCGTTTCCATGGATATTACCAATATATTTAACGTCAGGTTTGCCAATCATATGTTCGTATGGAGAAGCTGATACAACCATAACCCACAAGTCCCTACCTGTAATTTAAACTTTGTTATGTGTGGCACGCCATTTCACTTTTTAATCGTATATGTTTAAAAGTGTAAAAGAAAATTGAAGCAGTTTTTTTTTAAAATTATGGAATGTATAATTTTTTATAATTTTAATTATGTCTGACAATAATAATTAAATCAAATTATGTCAAGCATAAATTAAAAAAAAATCCACACTAAATCTACATTAAAAATTAAAAGAAATAATTTTTATAACCATTTATGTAGGTGATTCTATCCTCCGTGAATCTGTTTTTGCTTTGAATTTTATGCAACGGATGGCGCTTTAATCATTTTAAATAAGCAAAAACCTCTGTTTACGACATTATAGATGCATGTGATTCCTGAAGGTCAGTTAGAATTTATATGCAGATGAGAGTGTTGCTGTTTTATAATTCAAAAGATTAAGTTCATTAATTTGCTATTTAAAAACCTATCCACCGTGAAGTGTAATATCTCAGTAAGTAGATTTTTTTTATAAATATATTAGATAATTGTATTTTTAAGAAATATTATGGTGTCGAAAGATACAATAACTTATTTCAAATATACAAAGGTATATTAAAAAAAACATACGAAATCCTAACATCCGTGAAGCTCTAATATTCAAAATGTATGATTTCTTAAAATTCTTGCATTAGTGCAGAACCACTTATGTTATGTTATTACTAGACATGGTGGGTTCCCAAAATCCCCATTCTAGACTAACAGTAAAACAACCAAAAATAAAAAATAATCATTTTCACTTTCGGGACATCTCAATATATTCACCCACGCATATTTTTGTAACATTTAAATATTTTACCCGACGTATATTTTTAAACATTTTACATATTATTTTGTTAGTTGAATTAATATTTTCGTCATTTAATTTTGGTCCATTTTTATTTCGTATGAGGTTCTATATTTTTTCACTTTGATATTTATATTGGAATTATTGTACTAAAAACATTGTTGAACATTTTTTTTAAACTATTTTTTATTTTATTATTTATTATTATTTTTTAGTTGCAATTTATTATTTATGTGTACACATAATTTTAATTATAATAAAAAATGATACAATTAATTTTATGTGTAGGTACACATTAAATAATTGCAATTAATTTTTATGTTATAATTAAAATTATGAATTAACAAAATAAAAATTATGGAATTAATTTTAATTACTATATACTGCATTTGCTACTTTCGCAGCGCCAAATTAATTTCATGTTTAGAGAATTAATTCTAATTTTTTTTTTATAAAGTCATAATTTTAAAAATCAGTGCATTAATTTTGTGTACACATAAAATTAATTGTGTCATTTTTTATTAGAATTAAAATTAGGCGTACACTAAAAATATTTTAGGTACACAGAAAAATTAAATTAAATTTCTTCTTAAACTTCTTTGACATGTTTCATCAAAATCGCATACAAAATGACAAAAATATAAGCATTTTTAGATATCAAGGTCAGAAACGTCGAAAATTGACATTTATGACCTTGAACCCTTAAAATGACTATATCTTTGACATTTTGTATGCGATTTTGATGAAACTCGGTTTGTGCACTAAACTTAACAGGCTCAATCGAACCGACCTTGTACTGACTTTCCGATGGAATACAGGGCGGTCAAAGAGGGATACCTCCTGGTGGTATCCCTGAGAAATTGCGTCATTCTGTCGTAATTATGATAATTCCATCCGATCTCGTACGGTTCGACCGGTCCTGCGTCGTTGAAGCTGTTGAGACCGTGCTGGGTCTGATAGTTTCTTTGCTCGGCGTTCTTAACCAGTCCTTGCGGCACCCCCGGTTGTTGCGGGGGTTCCGCAGGGTCCGCCGACACGCTGATTTTCGACGCGATTTCTTGTTGTTGCGCGTGCGCGCCGATCACAAGGGCTAAGGTCACCCATAGTATGGATTTCATTTTAGAATCTGAAATTAAATTAAAAATATCGGATAAATTATCAAATTCTGTTATGGGTTTTTACGCTGATAAATTGTTCGTGAATAGATTCAAGGTTTCGTGTTTTGTATCATAACAATATAAAAATAAAAAAACTCGTAATTGATTATTATAAAATTGATGCTAAAAAAGAGTACAAATTTGATAAATGGCATTTTAGTCCCAAGTTTCATACTAAACTTGTTCTACTACCAACACAAATATTAAATAATTTTCAAATAAATAAAATCTGATACCTGTCAAATGGTTAACCTCACTTTTTACAAACTTTTAATATTATAGTCGCCTTCTCTCAATTTAAAACCCGATTGGTTCAAATCACAGTGAATATTGAAATGGGCCAATCACTGAAGCCTAACAACGTGAATAATGACTTCATTAATTCCCTTTGTCAGTAGTTAGTATGACAAAATGAGAAATGAATTTTAATTTTATTATTATCGGATTGAATATTCTTTGGATTTCTAAAAAATAAATGTATTTTCTTTCTTTTCTGTAAATTTATTTAACGAATAATACATTTTTATTGTTGTTGTAAAAAAGAACTCTTAGTAAAATTATCATAAATTTGTGGATATTATAAGAACGATTTTAAAAACGTAGAAGGGCCATTCCACGCTTAACGGATAGGACAGTTGCCGTGTTTTTATTTACAAAATAATATTGTTCTATTATATTACCAATTTCAAATTTTTATAAATAGTTCTAAACAAAAGCTGTTTAACAAGGTTTTTATTTGGCAAAATTAGATATCGTGGTTGACTGTTTAATTCCTTAAAAATTATTAACCCTCGAGCAGTCGCGTTGGTGCAAATGTGCTACCAATAATACTTAATAAGGGCTTGGGGCATGAACAAGTGTTTTATTTGTTTTATAGCTCTTAGTATCTTCCTAGATATTGATGACGAAGGGTTAGTTAAGTTTGTTTAGTTTAAATTTTATTAGTGTGTGTTGTCTACAGCGGTTTAAACTTAATTGGAGCAATTTTGCTACCACGCGCCTAATGATGTAAGTATATTTTTAGTTGATTTTTTTTTAATTGTGATATTTTTTCTGTTTTTACTAGTTTTATATTGCTAAAAATATCATTTACCAGTTTTTGTATAATAATAATAATATTATTATTATTTGCATTCCTAATACAAGTATATTGAGTATATAATATAGGTAACTGTAATTATTATTATTATTAGCTTTCCAAAAATTTGTATTTTATTCTGTTTACTTTATTTTAGGGCAAAAGGTCTCATATATTCAATTATTTTTAAAGGGTTACAAACATGTAGAAGAAATACAAAAACAAGATGAAAGAAGAAAAAAGCGGCGACGTTGTACTATATGTGGATGTCAGAAATATAAATTTACGTCACTATTTTGTGACAAATGTGATAATTTTGTTTGTCAAGAGCACAGTGAAAGTACAATTTCGAGTTACAAATATAAAACAAATTTAGTTTAAAATAATGAAGATGACTAACTTTTTATTTTTGTAAAATATAAATATATTATTTAAATGTTTATTAGAAATATTATTTAAATGTTTAATAAACATATAAAACTAATTATTTAAACTTTATTTATAGTATTTACTGCTAAAACACTATTAAAGCTGTTTTAAAACTATAATTTACAGCTGGTAGCATATTAGCACCACGCGCCCACTCATGAAATATTATAGGACGCGCCCGCTCTAGGGTTAATTTAAAGCGTGCGGACGGGACTATTACAAAGACGCTTTAAATTAATAGTTTTTAAGGAATTAAACAGTCAACCACGATACCTAATTTTGCCAAATAAAAACCTTGTTAAACAGCTTTAGTTTAGAACTATTTATAAAAATTTGACATTGGTAATATAATAAAACAATATTATTTTGTAAATAAAAACACGGCAACTGTCCTATCCGTTACGCGTGGAATGGCCCAGAAGCCATAATATAAAAATCTGGAAAAAAAATTTTTGTCATTAATCATTCAAGTTTAAAAATCTTGGCAACGCTGTTTGTTTCATAAGCTGAAATATTACACGTCTATGGAAACAATTCAAATGGCAGTTTGTTGTAAAAAAAAGACGTCATTAGAAAAGTCTTATTATAATTTTTTTTTAATTAATTATGTTTTCTGTGATTTAAATATAAAATCGCAGTTTTTACTACAAAATAGTCAATCTGGCAACCGTGCTCAAGTTTTAATCAAAATCACGAAGGAACCGAACCTAACGGGTTTAACTGTAAAAAATATTTCCCTCTTTATTAACTAGATTAGGTATTTTGGAAATCTAGGCTATTGTGTCACATTGTCTTATACCTATATATGTTTTTTTGTATTTTTTGGAAGTGTTTTAAAAATATCCCTGATAGCAAAATTTGATTCTAAGAATCTTCTAAGAAGATACGACTCGGAATAATGGAATATTCTTAGAACCTTCCCTTATTGCTAAGAATGTTCTTAGGGACTTTTAAAACATTCAATAGATACCCTTTTAATGATGCAAGTAGATTCTTAGAAGCTTCTTAAAACCTTCCTAAAAAGCAATCTAAGAACATTTTAAGAATACGATTTTGGAATGTTCTCAGAAGGTTTCTTATGGAGCTTTTAGGAATCTTTTGAGAATATTTCCAAATATGTCAGATACCCAAGTTCTAATATGTTGGATTCTACATTCGTAAAATTCTTCAGGAGGCGACAAATACGCCTCACTGTCATAATATGAAAGTGAAATGTATTTGTCGTCCCCTTAAAAAAATTTGCGACATATTAATATATATTTATTTAAAAATATTAAATAAACAATTTGACCTCTGAACCATAAGTTGTATGACATTATTTTATAAAAAGTAAAATTGGAAAATTTTGTGGGACAAGTCAGATTAGATTGAAGTTGAAGATAGTAGGATTATTATACATAAAAATGTTAATTCAGAAATAAAAAATCGGTATACAAATTAATAAATATTTATTTTTAACATTAACTAAAATACCTATAGTAAAAGTATTTTTGTTATCTAATATTGTTTTAATTTGATAAATAACTATAAAAAATATGTTGGGTTGTTTTTTACTTAGTATTTAATACTAATTACTTTCTCAACATTCTAAGCATATGTTTAGAGTGGATTAATTTTTACCACTAAACTTTGCACCTTCTAAGAACCTGCCTAGATATTCTCACTGGAAGATTTAAAAAACATTCTTAGAACATGCCTAGAAGATATATAGCATGATCCTAAGAATATTCTCACTGGAAGGTTTAAGAAACATTCTTAGAACATGACTAGAAGTAATATAGCATGATCCTAAGAATATTCTCACTGGAAGGTTTAAAAAACATTCTTAGAATAAACTGTGCTATCAGGGATACACCAACTAATACAAGTTTGTATTGAGTTTGCTAAATTTAGTTGAAAATGTATATAAATTCGCTCTAAAATTAGAAGACAAGTTTATTTATAAAATTCGCACTGTGTTTTGTAAAAAATAACTACTTTAATCTAGAGGGGTTAAATTTTTTTTATTACTATGATTGCAGAATATCATCACAAAATATTTGTAACTTGTAGTCTAAGATCCCAAGTAAGGTCGACCTTCACCCATCTGCTTACCAGATGAAAATTATATTTTATCAAATAAAATATGTTTCTGAACATAAACCAATAGGGTTGCCATAAAAAATATGATCAAGGCTAGCTATAATAAATAAAAAATTAAAAAAAAATAATTTATTTTTTAAATTTCACCGACTTGCTTGCCAAATGAACGAAATTCCAATGGAAAGCATAAAACATACAGAATATGTAACACCTAGGTTGCCTACCTTTTTCTGGTCCCTATTACCTGGTTGCTTTGTACAGGGTGATCCCCTATAATGTCGCCCCCCTTTAACTTTTTTATTTTAAGTGTCCCAAAAAATTTAAAAGTGTGGTTATGTAGGAACTAAAAAATACTTTTTTTCTACGTATAAAGAAAATTGGAAAATTGATCAGTATACAGGGAAAACAAAAAGTTTATTTTTTTCAATGGATCACCCTATATATGAATTTATTTTTCGATTCCTTGTAAAATTCTAAGCATATTTCATATATCATACCATATACCTAAATTCAACCGTTTCTGAAATATTTAAATTATTTTTAAGATAATAAGTTGAAATAGTTTGTCTTTCTCTGTCTGAGTACGCCATTTTTAATTATTTAACAACACTTATTGACATAATGTCACTATAGTAATTTATTTTCAATAAAAATTTTGGTATACTGAGGCTTCTTGATTTCTAACAGTTTAAAAAAACATTTAATGATGACATTTCGAATGCGAATATTTCAGAAACGGTTGAATTTAGGTATATGGTATGATATATGAAATATGCTTAGAATTTTACAAGGAATCGAAAAATAAATTCATATATAGGGTGATCCTTTGAAAAAAAATAAAATTTTTGTTTTTCCCTGTATACTGATCAATTTTCCAATTTTCTTTATACGTAGAAAAAAAGTATTTTTTAGTACCTACATAACCAAACTTTTAAATTTTTTGGGACACTTAAAATAAAAAAGTTAAAGGGGGGCGACATTATAGGGGATCACCCTGTACAAAGCAACCAGGTAATAGGGACCAGAAAAAGGTAGGCAACCTAGCTGTTACATATTCTGTATGTTGTATGCTTTCCATTGGAATTTCGTTCATTTGGCAAGCAAGTCGGTGAAATTTAAAAAATTAATTATTTTTTTTTAATTTTTTATTTATTATAGCTAGCCTTGATCATATTTTTTATGGCAACCCTATTGGTTTATGTTCAGAAACATATTTTATTTGATAAAATATAATTTTCATCTGGTAAGCAGATGGGTGAAGGTCGACCTTACTTGGGATCCTCTACTATTGGGAATCTACAGCGTTTATAAAATTTCAATTTTTTTTGTATGAATAAAAATTTATCCCTTGAAAATAGACTAACAAGCAGTTTTTCACAG